TTTGCAATGACTACATTGTTTGATCCAAGAACAAAGTTGACATTATAAATAATTTTGTAGATGTCGATAAGAATATTTGTAAAGCAAAATTGAGATGTATGTGCGGTAAATTGAAGATCTATAATAAGACGATTATCCATAAAACACGACAAGAGTACAACGAATAAAATCTACTCTTCGTTATTAAATATTTTGAATTCCCCATTAATGGAATATTACATCAGGAACGCATCTTTTACATATATAGGAAAATTCAAAGGAAAAATAAAAAGAGAGAGCAGAGGAATTCAAAAATTCTCATAAGTAGTTAATACATAAGATAAGACAATATAAGGAGAAAAAACTAGATAGATATAACCGTGCAACCAAGAAAAAGTCTCACAAATCACAAACGGCTTAAAATTTTGCACTGAACATGAAAATATTAAAACTATAAGAGATGATAGAAAGAAAGTTCAAAACAGAGAAGTCAAGAGTGTCTCTTACTTACTCTTCACCCACAGGATTTAGAGATCACCGGACTTGCGAAGGAGAGCAGAGCAATCCCGATGCATCTGCGCCAATGACTGCGAGATCACACACTGTGCAGATGTTTCCTTCTTGCCCTGGCACGAACCGGGCCGTGCAGTACGGACATGAGACGTCCTTTTGTCCCCTGTAGATCGGTACATATGTCGCACCGCATGTCACAAACGGGTTCCTGAAATCATAGTTTAGCTTCGTTTCATCGGTCATGTTGCGTTCGGCAGCTTGGATAACTTGTCTCGCAGTCTTGGCCTGGCTCTCCACGGCTGGGTTTGTCTCTATCAACCTTCTAGCGAAGTTAGAAGCAGTGGCTAGGTTCTTCGCCTTGTAGCAGACACTCATCGCACTGAGGAGAGCGAGCCGTAGGTGAGGAGTTTGGAGATTACAGTGAGTGAAATACGCAGCGAGCTCTTGTTGTCGTGTCGGGTCCCCTTTCATTTCCCTTCTCTTCAGTTCCATTTGCAGACCGAGAACATATTCTTTCACGATAATGATCAGCTCTTTCACCTCGTCGACTTCTCTTCTTGACTCAACTACAACAAGAGGGATTGTGTGTAGGATAGAGAGGAAGATACGCAGAGCCTCAGTGAATTTTCCTGTCGTGGTGGCTTTGTAACCGGCCTTGAGCTTCTCTTCAAGCTGAGAGAATTCATAAACCAGAGCTGGTGGGCCACGGACGTTGGGGCTAGCAGATTCGTTCCACCCACGCTCAATGGCAAGTGACACCACAGGAGAAGAAGAAAGTGCACGGAGATAGCTATGGCTTCCGGTAAACAGATCAAGGAACATCGACCTCAACGGAGCAAAGTTCTTTATGCCAAGCTGTCTGTGAAGCAAACGCATTGCAGTGTCAAAGCTACCCGCTGCAGCCTGCTCAGCAGCAAGAGATGACTTCTGGCTCCAGATTTGATTCACAGGCATGCCCAGAGTTGGCATCACGAAAACCGATGAGCGTGTGTTTGCAGAGCTCTTGGGTGTGTCAAGCTCCGGTGGTAACTCTAAGTCCTCAAGTGCCCATCCACCTTCTTCACCGTCCTCATCAGCCACTTCTGCATCGTCCATCATTGCTTCCACGTCACCAATCTGGATTCCACCAACATCAAGTCCCTCGCCCCAATCGCCTTCAACGTCTTCTTCATCATCAACAKCCCCTTTCGCACCGTTCTCAAGTCCTCCTTCAAATATCCCTTTCATAACTCTGAGAAGAGGCCAATCACCTCCACACATAACAGGGGTTGGGGGCATCAGAAGAGACGGAGTTTTACCTTCAGGCAAAGATGGCACGTTGTCTCCCAACTCACTTGCCAATCGCTCAGCAACATCATGTAAACCATGAACCGAAGCCGTGATATAAGCAAGAGGCAAATGACCAGCATTCTCAAGTATCTTAACCCGCTCTTTAACATCTCCCAGATAGAGGGCATTGTGAAACTGACCCATGACATTGTTTTTCACTTCAGCAATCTTCATCAACTTTGACAGCTTCTCCAAATTTCCAGTAATGAGATAGAGAAAAGAAAGCCTCTCAAAGTTCTTTGTCTGCTGGTAAGCAAATTCAACAATTCTAGCATTACCTTGGCGAAGCGCCTCCACTCCAAGTTTGTACCATTGATCTTTCTCATTAATCTCTGTAGCCGATGCAACAGCGACACTGATGTTGCCACTTTCAAGAGCCAAGTTGAATCGAATCCTTTCATCTTCAACGAAATGGAGGGCAACTTCAGGGAATCCTTTCTGCTGCAGGTAAGCGATCATAGCCTGCCCGCACAATTGGGAATTCCTTATCATGCTCATGACATGGTCGTACTTCTTTCTCAGCAGTGAAAGCTTGAAAATGTACTCTGTTGCATCAATGGTAATAATCTTGTTCTTCCCATCTCGATCCAAGCAGAAAATGATATTTGCAGTAACCTTTGTGATGTAGATAGGGACGTCCAGAGTTTTGATTATTCCACTATCGCCATTTGGAAGACAATACTTTACATGGTTAAGAGTTGTGTAGATGAATACACCATTATCATCCCAAGCTCCACTCTTCACGCGGATTGTCTCATGAAGGGTGCATTGGTGGACAAGCTTCTTACTTGCTATAATGATAGTATGTTTGCTGAGCAAAGCAACACTCTCCATATCATTCGACCAAACGACGTAYCTAACAAACGGAGTTTGAAGATCACCAAGAACCAGTCTTTGCTGCAGGTCGAAAATAACCACTTTATCCTCAGATCTGCAAAGCAGATTTCCAGTCCCGGCATAAAATATAGCATCAGTAGGTATTGGCAGGGTGCCCTTTTTAACCACCTCGTTCTTGAGATTCTTGACTAGCACTTGATTGGTGCTT